GGGGGGGGGGGGTGCTTGTAGGAAGCGACAACTGCCCTGCCCAGCTGCTGCAGGAACAGAAGGCAGGAGATAAATAAGTGTCGTCCTGGCTGGATCTGCCAAACCTTGCCCTCCTGGGACAGCCCCGCAGTGCCCGTATCCAGCCCAAACCCCACTGCGGTGTCAGAGCGACCCTGCAGCGTGGCCCCGCCGGCACCTTGGGCATCCCCGGCCTCAGGAGCAGGCAGGGGGTAACGCCAGGCTGCGGAGCAGCCCCAGGGACCAGCACGGCTACAGACAAACCCAGAACCAGAGCAAAACTTAACGAGCCAAACCGTGGGGAAAGGACACGTGGGGAGCTCTCGGCTGGGCGAGAAGCACCAGCTCCCGAGCCGCGAGGGCAAACTAGGTGGGGGGAAACGGGATGAGGGCGAGCAGGGAGGCAGGTGGGTGCCTCTACCGACAGCCACACTCCTCTGCCACCATGTTGGGGAACTTGCGGACCTCCAGCCCCTCCGTGGAGAGGCTGATGATGAGCTGGTCCGAGTAGCGGACGGGCACGCAGCAGGGAGCCCGCTGGAGGGGCGAGCCCCGCTCCTGCATGCCCAGCAGCAGCACCGTGTGCGAGTAGTAGCTGGGGATGCGGGTGGAGAGGGGCAGCTTGCAGGGACCCTCGCAGTTGTTGGCCGTGTAGACAGTGGGCATGACGATGAACTTGCGGTCGTGCAGGTCGATGGTCAGCTCCTGCAGGCGGCAGTGGGCCTGGTGCCGCGCGCTGCGGTTCTGCCGCAGCACCTTCCTCCGCTCCTGCCAGCGCGCCCGCACCGTCTGCAGCGCCTTCAGCAGCAGCAGCGTGTGCATCTTCCCAGAGCCGGGCGTCCGCTCGCCGGCTTGACCCCCACCCGGCCCCGGCGGGTAGTAGCAGAAGCTCAGAAGACGCTGGAAAAGCCCCATGTTGGCTTGGAAAGCTGGGATGTCCTTCAGCTCCTGGATCACCGCCTGCAGCTTGCCCATCAGCAGCTGCAGCACGGTCTCCTCCGGCTGCCAACCCCCCAAGTGCTGCTCCAGCACAGCTCCGCTGTCCTGGGGGAAAAGCAGCACCGAGGGCTCCTCTGACTGCACCAGACGCTCCAGGGCTGCCTCCTCCGACAGGTTGAGCAGCTGGTGAGGGAGGGTCTCCATCACCTGGAAGTCCAGCCAGTGGTGGGAGCTGGGCTGGGGGGGGGGCTCGCTGGAGGGGCTCAGGACCTGGCGGATGAACAGGGTCAGGATGCCCAGAAAATCGCTGCTGCTGCCGGGCGCCGGGGTCGAAGTGTTGGTTTGGCTCAGGGCGGTGGGGGACAGCAGGTCCTCAGTCCCAGCCTGGGGTGGGCTGCGAGGAGAATACAGGGAGGGTCACGGGGTGCCCCTGTACCTCGGGGGTCCCGCCAGGCCCTGCTGCAATCCCACACTGGGGATGCCCCTCTTCCCCCTCCAGCTCCCAGCCCCTGTGTTCTTCCATGGCTGCAGGGTGGGCCACAGACCTGAGCTGCGGGTACGGAGCCATGTCCACCACCCCGTCGGCAGAGAGGTAGGAAGAAGGGGCCAAAGCCACCTCCTCCTCCTCCTGCCGTGCCTTGGCCAGCAGGAGCAGCACGGGGGTCATCCTGGTGAAGCATTTGTCATCAGAGCCAAAGAGGAGCTGCTGGGTCTCCATGGAGGGCAGGGGGGCACCTGGTGGGGAGAGGAGAGGTGGGGACGGTGGCCCGGGGTCTCCCGCAGCCCCTCGTCACAGACAGGCTTGACAGGACCCCGAACGCCCAAGTCAGGATGCAGAGAGCACCGACACCACCGTCCCCCGCATCCCTACCTGCCCCCCCGCGATGCCTGATGGCCAGGGAAGCCTCGAAGCTGAGCTGCTCGCTGCTGCGGGTGACGGATGCTGCAGCGGCTCCCAGGACCAGGTACCGGGTGTCCCTGGTGGGGCAGAGGCTCTGCCCGGAGGCAAAAGACACGGGAGCACCGTGGACATGGGTGAGGCATCGTGGAGGCGGGGGACACAAATGAGCCCCCCCGCCCCGGTCTGTGGTGGCCCAGGGACCAGCGAAAGGGGAGGGAGAGTGGGGCGCGGGGGTGCACCACCCAACCCCAGCGCTGTGCCGGGAGCCGCGGGGTGCAGGGAGGCCCCTGGGGAGGGGAGAGAGCCCCGAGTGTGCCCAGCCCCACACCCGCTGCTCCCGGCT